TTTGTGCATAGCTTAAAGGTGGGAGTGCGTGGTTTGCCTTATACAAGGTACACCGAGAGGAAACAAGAAGTAGCTGCATCATGCTCCTACCCTGCACTTCCCAAATGAATACCCATGGTAGGGAGAGAACCTTTGCTTCACAACATCCTGCCAAATGCTGCTGTTTGGAGTGGGAGGTGTTCCCTTCAATGAAGCTTCCCTGGCTAACACAGAGAATGTGTCAAGGCAGAAACCTTCTGCCTCCATAGGAGACAATTTTATGATTCCCTTTGCCTACCACAGTTTTTTTCCCATCACAGTGAAGGAAAGTGCCGCACTCTACTGTTCTATTAATTAGGTTAGGGGACACAATCCACCCTTTGGGTCAGGGTGGGCCATGGGGCCCAACTCCTGCTGGGGTGCAGAGAACCTGCAAATTCATTTCATGTAACATGAGCCATGTCCCTGGGGGACTCCCAGGCTCATAGCATTCTCTAGAGATACCCCATAGACATGGAAGGCAGGAGAAGCTGTGGTAGAGGGAAGAACTGGAATTTGTATTTTTTTGTATTTTCTACATCTGCAGCCTTTGCAGTTGGGACAGCGTAACTGCCTGCTGTGATCTCAGCAGCCCTTTCTGTTCACAGGGGTTTGATCCCTGATGGGGATTTGCAGACTATTGTCACTTTAAATGTGAACACCTTTTCCCTTCTTTGGATACAGGATCTCGATAATCTGATTCAGGATATGGACAGTGATGAAAACAAGGTAAGTAAAAGTACAGTAGAGGAACTCTTTTAGCAAGAGCTGAACAGCCAAGTCTTGGTCTACAGCCTGTGGGTTCTCTTTCACGATCTTCTTTCTCATCTTCATGCAAGCCAGATTTTTGAAGGCTACTTCCTAAATTGTAGAGATCATAGTGAATTCCTCAAGGCCCTGGCGTTTGTGACTGTAGAGCTGTGACATGAAGGTAACAACTGGTACTATCCTTGTTAGCAACTTCAGAGTCCTCAGAGTGAGAGCTAGGCATTTGCTATAGTGAGAGGAAAAGTATTTCAGAGAGGCACATTGGTGGGGGTTTTGGTTTTGTTACTCAACTTTTCACATAGGTGCATGTAAGTTTCTAGTAACAGCAGACAGCTAATGATGACCATTTCATCTTACTGTTTCAGGATTACACTGTTTTATGGTGATCAAGAGTTAGATGGTAAAACTTCTTCAATTCTGATATTTTTTTTCTCTTAGAGGAAGTGAGGCCTAAACTACTTTGTTTCTTTGCTAGCTTTCATAGCAGCCGGCCAAGCCACTGGAGAGTCACACATAAATATGTGAAATATAGATACATGTTTATAGAGGTGGCTGTGGCTCAGCGTTTGTGGATTCTTGTAGATCCTGGCATAGCTGGGAATGAAATCTTAAGATTTGTGACTGTCCTCTGTCCTACTACAAATGGGCTTTTAATTGTGCCTTTCTGTAAGATCTATCACCTGGAAGATGGGAGCTGTTCTAGAAACAGCAATGGAAGAAAATGACAGGTTTAGACTCCTTGCTATGAGGATATGGTAAATTAATGCACAAGATAGGATTTGTGATGCTATTTTCAAGGTCTTACAATAAAGGAATTTCTACAAGACACAAACGTAATAACATACAGCTGTCTGTCTGCCTTTTTCATTGGGATTTGCTTCATGCCAAATCTGTTTGGTAATATGGTACTACTACCACCTTGTAATACAGACTTCTGAACTGGGTATTTCCCATGAATCCTTGCTTAGGCTTGTTCAGTTACTTTACTACAGATTTCTAACCAAGGTCTGATTGCCTCTTCTGCTTCAGATCCAGGCCTACGTGATGTGTAACAAGCTGCGCTCTGCATATCTGGTCTCGGTGAGGCAGGAGAAGGCCAGAGCGGTGCAGCTGGTGCAGCACGTGCGGCAGCTGGCCGAGAGCAGCGGCGACGACGTTGTGAAGGCCATCTGTGCCCAGTGGCTCTCCGTGCACCAGCCCAAGATGAAAAATCGGCTTGCACAGGGCACCAGGAAGTAATAAGTAATTGACATTCACCATCATACAGGAGGAGAAGGCTTCAAGACAGCTCAAAGGTGTCTGGTTCAGTACTTCTTGGTAAAATGGAAGTCTCTTGACTCATGTTGGTGGGAAATGGGTGCTGCTAATGTGCCTTTGGTGGGGAGGGAACTAAATTACAAGTGCCAGTCCTGTATTTTGACACAGTCGCTACCTCAGGGTGTTTTTTGGCTCTTTTTCTGACAGAGGTGGGGGGGGCAGTTTCAAACTGAACAGGCAAGGATTTAGGTGTATGAAGAGAGCACTTCTCTTTCTGTTTCTGATTTTGGCTTTTGGTTTTTTGTTAGTTTTTAATTTTTTTGGGGGGGTTGATATTTTTTGAAAAGCACTGAACTTAATAATATGGGGTTTATTTTTTATCCAGAAAACATGTAGAGAGGACAGAAAAATTTTATCAACTCAATGTAGCCTAGAGGATAAACTTTCTGATTATGGGTTTCCTGTAAAATTTTTCAAGATTGGAGAGATCTTCTGTTACAAAGACTAAAATTCAGAGATTTTTTTTTTAAGCCTCTATACAAACCATTGCTACTTCTTTTTTTTTTATTATTCCCTCTACTAGTACAATGTACCCAGTTTCTTTAGTTTGTTTGAAAAGGTAGGAACTGATTCTTTATAGCAGGTTTGTACTTACCAGTCACACTGTGTGATGTGTGCCACACATATGGCACTTCAGTCCTCACTAGTTGAATGAAGCTATAAAAGACATATGCTGTAAGGGGAGTACAAAGGGAAAATAAGCCTTTAAAATATCTGAAAAATCACGTACCTCTTTCTTTGCTATGGCAATACCCAAAAAATTGTTGTCATGCAGCTTTATGACTGAGTAGTTGACAGTAAACTTCCACAGTTTTTCATCAGGTATAGCAGAGAATATTGGATAAAGCAAGCTGTGGCAAAATTCAACAGGTGGTCTTCTATCCCTGTCGCACAGGGATTTATTTATTTATTACCAGAATAATCTGTCCCTGTTAAGTACAATAGAACACCAAACTGGACCTACTGTATAGACAGGCTTTGCTCTGGAAGTGTTAGGTTAATCAGTTTTATGAAAAAAGCAGCAGTCTTCATATAATGGCTGTGTAATGAGGGATGCTGAAAAAAGCAGCTGCTTCCCTGCAACTGTGACTGGGACATGAAAAATTAGCAGAAGTGTGGTAGACAGTAGTATGACCTTCAAAAAAAAGAAAACCAGAACAAAACACAACAGTTTGTGTTCACTGTTTACATATATTTCAGCAGAAGTAGGAAAACTAATTCACTTTTTTGTTAAAAAGTTGTTTACTTCAAAAGAAATGACAGGTTTTCTGAAGTGTAACTGAATTGTAAATAGTTTTATTACATAAAATAATTGAGACTGTCAAGTAAGAGTTTTGCACTAACCCCAAGCTCACTGTAATGAAAGAACAGACTTTCATGGTATTGGAAAGGATTTGGTCCATCTTCAGGGTTTCAAGAGCAGTGCCCCACTGACACAAACACCTCTCTTTGGAGGCACTCTGCTCACTAGAACAGAGCTAGAAATGTCTGAGTAAAGCAGTCAGAAATGACCACATGGAGCTTTCAGAATCCCTTGACCACAGATTTACATTATCCCATTAGTGAGCAGTACTAATGAAAGCTTTTGCTTCCTTGGCCAGACTGACGTAGCTTTCCATCAGCTTACAGCCGTTAGGCTAATCCTAAAACGTGACACTACCTATGTCTTCAATCGTTTTTAAATCTCTAATTATGGGGAGGAGGTTTTACTGTTTGTGGGTATCCAGATCTGCATTTCTGTAACACCTTTTCTGCTCGAGTTCCTTCAGCTGTACAGAGCACAGAGAGTGGAGTTTGCTGTGCAGACCTGTCAGTTCCATACCTGCCTTTCTTCCTGACCTCTTTGCACTGTACCTGATGCACTTTATATAGTGTTTGCTGTAATTTGATGTTCTTAACCCAGAATCATAGGGATCTTTCTCATACCAGCAGAACCTGGAATTTTGATCCTGACTAGCTGCCTTGTGTCACGAGTAGTGCAATTATCAAGGGGGTTTGAATTTTTGTCAGCAAAAAGGGATTGACTACTGCCAGTTAAAAAGAACTTCTCTGTTAATGACTAAGGTTTGTTTACAATGATAAAAGAGAATAAAGTATTGTGACTGTTAATGTATCTCCTATTTAATTTTTATCTCAGCATAGCTGGGGGTCTCTTTCTTGATCTGCATTTTGCTTTTGCCTAGGCTTAGCAAAGTAATTAGAAGGGGGATAATTTTTCTGTTGTGCCAAATCTGCTACAGTGTCCTCAACATTTAGATCAATTGGAACGTCACACCTTTAGAAGTCCTCCCAGTAGCTAGGTAGCTAGTTCAGCCTCATACGTGTACTTAGTAATCCTCTTCAGAGAGCTTTGCTAGTTAATCTAACTCTTCCTTACAAGCTTCCCTTTGACACAACTAAATGAGCTTTAGTTCCCTCATTTTTTTACAGATCAGCTGAGATGTATAAATGACTTGCTCAAGGTCAAAATGAGTGGGTGTCTCTCTATGGAAATGTGTAATTTAATATGTCTTAAGTTAAATCCACAATTAGACTTCTTTGCGAAGAGCATTGACCTGCAAGGGCAAAAATATTTCACGCTAGAGACACTTTCTGCTTTTTAAAAAATGGTTTCTCTTGCTCCTGAAAACTACTTTCAAGATCAGAGAATCACACAGAGAAAGGAAGCCTAGTCTCCAATGCTAGGAAGCATTCTACTGCTACACTGTAGTTGTGGATTTAGCTTCATAATCGGGGTGAAGCAGAAAGAGAGAGGGAAAAAAGAGTGACAGGGAGAAACACAAATGGACTCTGAAATGTTACCTGAACTGAGTTCTCTACATTAGTAAGGCAGGCGCAGATAATAGCAACACCAAATAAACTGATTCAACATTTCTGAAAGAAGATACGGTCTCCTGTTGTAAAAGGAAAATAGCTTTATTTAGTATTGCTCAGAGGTAGCACAGGACTGATCTGCATAGATAACATCCAGACAGAAAAAATTAGAATTAGCATTTGTTTCCCAAAACTGGCAGTTGGTCAGAGTCGCAGGCTCATATGCAAGTCCAAAAATTTCCAGACTTCTTTTCAGAAGCAGAAGATAATCCAATGAGATGTGGCACTTGGTTTCTGACTGCTTAACTCTTTCAGAAATAATCTCTGATTATGGATCAGACTCTAGCAATTTGCACCCAAGTAGCACTAGAGGTCCAAGGGAGCAATCCCATTGCTATGTGGACTGACCCAGCTGCCCTGTGGAAGTGCAAGCTGTGTGGTCCTGCTCAGGCAGACTGCCAGCCAAGGCCAGCCAAGGCCAGTAACTGCTGGGCAGACAAATGCCAGGATTTCTGTATATCTTACCTTCCTGTGCTGTAGCTAGCTCAACCATAATACCAAGATAGTCCCAACTCCTGCTTCAGCTATTTAGCTCAGCAGTTTGGTGTCATTTAAAGCTCAAGTCTCAGCTGAAGTTGTTTAATATTTTTTAACATGGTTCAGATGTTTTTTACTCGCTGTCTTTTCTAGGTTCTATAGTCCTTTGAAGTGCAGCTGGGGGGTTTACTGTGACAATTTTTACACCATCTTTGCTCAGTGTTTCACAGGAGAGATGCTGATTTCTTTAGTAAGATAACGTGGCCATGCACAATTCCAGCGCTCCTGCAACTTTTAACCTCCCAGTCACCTGCATTGAGACCTGAGTTCTCAGAAGATATGCCCAGCCCTCAGTGAACTTAATGCAATTAGTGGGCACTTAGGGCCAAGATACCTCAGTGGCTAGAGTCCAGCTACTTAGAGAGAAAAATTATTCCACTTAGAAACTTTACCTATTGCTTGGCACAGAAAGGCCCACACCTGTTCCTGTGTGCTTGAGAGCATTTGTATTGCATTTACTTGCCAGAAAATTCAATATCCTAGAGTACTTTCACTCTGCCAAGTCAAACTGTAGGAACTGAACATAACCTTAGATCATAAGTTTAGAGTCCTACCTTTTTACTATTGCTGTTAGGAAAGAAAACACAACCAAACTTTATTTAAGGTGATTTTTTTTTCTTCACAATCTAAACCTAAGACTGCAACCTCCCTTTCTATTCTAAAGCCAGAGGACAATAGTCTTGGGCTGTTGTGTGAGATACCAAGCAAAGGTTGCTCCCTGTATCAGTGCTTTAATTCTCCAGCTAGGAAGAGGGAGTGATTGCTTACAAATCTCAATTCTTAAGTGTAGTATTCCAGAAATTCAAAGTAGGTTGTGCCCACAGAGCCATCATTGGGGCAGCTGAATTACAGCATTCTACTCCTGAGGTCTCTCATCAGTGCTCTTCCCCAGAGAAGCTTCACTGGATTCAGCCAGGTACACAGGAGGTCTGCGCTGCTCAGTCCCACTGGATGCCAAGGAGCTCACAGCTCACGTTCCAGAGCTTCCTTGCTGTCTCATCATCCCGGCCACGTGGAGATATGTATGCTGGCTGGCAATCACTGTAAGAGGAACATTCTTTTAATTTGTTAAGTCAAAGATCTTCATCTGCATTAGCACACTGAAATGTCTGTGTTAAAATAAGGGAGTTGCTTTCTATCAGTTTAATTCAAGACCAGTTGAAGAACGGTGGGAAGCTATACAGCAAATGAGCAAGGGTTGGTGCTAAGCCATCATGAGAAAGCTTTTAAGGAAGAATCTCTCCCAACAGCACCAAGAACTGACGAACAAGTCTAATTTTATCTGTTGTTTTAACTCTTAAAGAAATCTCTTTAGTTTACATTCTCATTAATACCACTAAAATGGGCTATTAATGCTAACCCAGCTTCTTCAGGGCACCTTTTCTAGCAAACACTACAAAAAAGCCATTCAAACAGTCCTGCATTCTAAACTATTTATCCCATCCTATTCATCTCATGATATGCCCAAGAATAATCACACTGTAATAACCATGCATGGTTATCCCCTTTTCCATTATCCTCTGAACTGTGGCTCCTTTCTTCTCAGCACTCTGTCTGGAATAGAGATCCTGTGTTCTCATCTGTAATGCTAGATTGTGCAATAAGTGGGAGTTTCAGAGCACAGAGGAAATGGCATCTTGTAAGGTTTCCATTCAGCCCAGTGTTTTCAGAACTCCAAGTGCACAGTCTTTGATGTTCCTGAAATGACTCTGGTGGACTCCACCTCTCTTCTTGTAGCATGCAAATTCCTTTCTTAATGTCTGTACTTGTGCTTTATACTCTGTTGCCTGGAAAGTGAAAATGATTTTAGGCTAGTCCAATGGTAATTGTGAATTACTGTTGAAGCTACTAATTTCCCACCAAGTCCAAAACTCCCTTTTTTTCTGAGTTTAAAATCCATCAGAGTTTTCTGTACTCCAGCACATAAATGCTACATTTTTATCCTGGGATGGACAGTCATTCAGGGAAGATTAAGACATCTATTTATATGTTCAAGTCTGATTAAGATACTACAAACTCCCAAATAAAGATCAGGCAAAGTCATTACAGAGACTAATCTGGTCACGAATCACAAGAGGAAAGCTCTGCAAAGACACAAAGGCTCCAAAGGCATCCATGGGAGGGGGGTGAGGGGAAGACAGAAAAATTTTCACATTCATTTCCCAAAAAATGAGATTGTTACAGTTCTCTGCACCCAGTGGGAAGTTGACAGACATATCTGCATGAATTTGTTCAAATGGCAGTCTTCAAATCTAGGATGATGATGATTTGGAACTGCTCCAGGCTGTAGCTTTGGTGATGGGAAAAGCCATGGCTGTGCAGGGTCCTGGAGTAAGTCAAAGTAGCCAAGAAATAACAGGTTTTGTAGTGGGAGCTACACAAGACCATTTTCAGGATAGAGTGACAAGTGTCCCAGCAGGAGTCCCTGCCAGCTCATGGGTCTGTCACACTGCAGAATCAAGTTATTTTGTCACATGCCAGACCTGAAAATCTCACCTCTTAGCTCTACAGCTCCATCAGCCCTCACAGCTACCTGGGAGCACAGGCCCCTTCTGCTCCAGTGGGGTGAAACTACAAAGAGAACCGAAGTGGTCTTTCCAGAATTGACTCAAGTGACCTCATTAACTGAACAGTTCTACAGAAAAGTGATTTTTCCCAAGTCTCAGATCAGATTAAAGCTCTGAGCATGTGACAGCCGTTCCTGTACTTTGAGTACATTGATATTCCTGGCACTAAAGGACCTGCTATTGCGTGAGGTGTTACACAGGTCAGGGATTTTTTCTAACACAATTGCAACAGAGCTGGCAGGAGTAATGTTCTAGTATCCGTCACCCTCAGTCTTACCAGACAGCCTCATACCCAGTCCCTTTTTAATGAAGAATGAGAGTAACTCTCATATTGCCCAGCCAACAAGGTAGCCTTCCACAGCGTATCACTACTTCAGCTTGCACCCACCTGAAATACTGTCCTGTCACAGAGTCTAGTTCCTCAGCTACTGCACAGTAGACACTGGTCTGAGCTCCTTCCCAAGGTGTCTTCAAGAAGAAGGAGAATATCTTCCACAGCCAAGTCATTAGACATGAATGCCGGACCAACTCAGAATAGACAGAACCAGGATGGAGAGCATTTGCTGTGACTTTAGTGCCTATGGCAAAATAAAGTAGTTCAGGACAAATCTATATGCATCAAAGTGTCTTTAAAAAGATATATATATATATACTCCTCAATTCTACCTGCAGATATTCTGTAACTTAAAGGAGGAGTCCAGACTTGGATACAGAGAGAGCTAAGGGAAGTCCTCTGTAGTTACTGCTTGCTGAATGTCATGGATACACTTGACCTTTTAACCAAACCAGCAGTAGTTTGGTAAAGGCCTGAGCCCTATCTGGGCCAAGAACTCCTCTAGAAAACCCACAAAGAGGACAGTGAGCATTAGTGCACAGGAATTTGGAAGAGCATCATGCAGTTAACACAAGTAGCATGTGGCTTTTCCAAGACTGATTTATCAAGGAACAAAGAGAGTTGTGGATATGAGTCTCATGTGTACCTTTCCCACTGTATGCAATTTGACTACAAGCCAACCACTTTATTCCACGAGTATGACAGCCAAAGTGAGCCTTCTCTGAGCTCTCCCTACCAGACAGTGTGACTGCATGGTGACGATCTCCCCTTGAGCTGAGTCACTTCTCCAGGTTGCTCCTCAAGGCAGAGACCTTTTCGTAACAGCATACCTTTGGATGAGCCCATCTGGAGCTGAGCCCAAACTGCAACTGGACTGCACACCAGGTGACCCTCCCCTTGAGCATGGGTGCCTCTCAAGGTTTAGAGATTCCTTACCTGAGACTAAGAAAGCCTTCCTTACCCAGGCAGAGAGACCCTTGCTTGCAACAGATCCTCAGTAAGTGACTGATGGCATGCTGAATTAATACTGAGGAAACATTACTAATCCATATAGCTACTCAGTAATAATTACTATAAACTTTGTATAAATAATTCCATTAGACATAAATCATTGTCCAAGTCTGAGACTAAGACTGGACCTAGCCGCATCTAGGCTCCCTAAGGAGTTTAGAAAGCCAGGGGGTCCAATCTGAACTTCATGACTCAACAGGAGGGTCTTCCTTACCCTTTGTGTTTCTAGACCTGTGTGAATCATTCTAACTCAACTTTTCTTAATAAATTTCTTCCACGTAGTGAGTAATAGAGTGAACCTTGCCATCGAACTTTGTTAAGTCATACTTTTATGACATCATGTTAAAACCACTTTTGCTAATACCTTTGATGGTGATTCTTTAAGCGTTCTAAATCACTCATCTGTGACACTGGAGCATCCCCTCGTTCCCTTCCAAACACTGCAGTCACTACATGCCTTCTGCAAAACAAAGTGCTAGAGGGCCCAAGTGCTAAAACAGCAGCAGTTTCCATCAGGCTTTTGAGAACACCTGTTTCTTTTGATTTACTCTAATAGTAATTTCCTAGGGAAAACACTGCTTCTGTTTTAGTAAATAAATACTACTTAAGTTGATGAGCGAATGACATGACTGTGACAGATGCTGTGACTTAAGAGGTACTGTCTAGTCTTATGCTTGTTCTACCACCCACCAACATTTAAGGCAACTGAGTGTGCATTAGCTTTTCTATTTGGAGACTGCAGTTGTAGTTCTGTTTTCAGCTTCCACTCACATACCACAACTGTCTGCATGGATGCAGCTAGTTTTTGACAAGCACCAAAGAAAAAGGACATACATTCAACTGTGCCAAGCTACTAAACTCTTCTGTCCTGTTGTTGTAAAGACAATTAGTGTTCGAAGTCTCCTGGTTCCACAGATGGGAGATACTTTCTTCCTGCAAAAAGCTCTCAGTGACACTTGCCTAAAACCACTCAATTTCTGCATAGTTGATTTCCGGACCTCTCTTCAATCCACTCTCCCCATCCACGGTGTACAAAAACCCAAGCAGAAAAACACTCCACTTGGCTCTGGAACTTGCCTTGCAGCCGCCTCGCCAGCTCCCGGGTGAAGAGCACATTAGCCAATTTGCTGTGACAGTAGGCGAGGCCACGATTGTAGCTCTTCTCACCATGGAGATCATGGAAGCGGATTCGGCCTCCATGATGAGCCAGTGAGGACACGTTCACTATGCGGGCTGGGGCAGACTGCTTCAGACGCTCCAGCAGGAGGAAAGTCAAGAGAAAATGACCTAAGGGTGAGACGAAAGGTCATCCTCTGAAGGGTCCCCCTGCTTGTTTATATGTTGTATCTTACTGCTGCCCTCATTTCAAGACCAGGAAAAACAAAACCCCCTGGAATTAACAGCTAAACTTTTTGGGGGCCTTCAAGTTCTGCTCCTCATCTTCAAAAAGTTGGAGCTGTCATACATTTCAAAATGTCCCAAGTAACATGTACAGATACTTAAACTGGATCCATGATAAGCAAATACACCACACTGCATCTCCGGAACTCTAATTCTGGCCTTCCATCCTTCCCCAAGAAGGAAGAATAAGAAAGAGAAAATCTGAAAGCAGGATTTTCCTTTGGAATTTTGCCACAGATATTGGTGTTGAAAGATGACAATCTTTTAGGTCCTTTCCAACCCAAACCATTCTGTGATTCCATATTGAGTATAAACATGATTCCACTGGCCTTACCAAGATGATTGACTCCCATATGCATCTCAAAGCCATCAGCAGTCTTGGAATAAGGGCATAACATTACCCCAGCATTATTAATGAGAATATGGAGTTCCTTCTCCTCTGCAAGAAACAACAGACATCCTTAATCAGGGAAACAGAGAATGAAGACAGACAGCACAAGTCAGCCAAAAAACGTCTTGCTGTCTGAGTTGCAGCCACATCGCCATAAAAAAAAAAAGGATAAGTCTCCTACCACAAACTAGCTCATGGCCTCTGACCTGCCCCTGCTGTGAACCACAGTACCCAGCATGGTACAGAGATACACAGGGCAGGGATTCAGCATTGGCTAGAAGAGCAGATGGCAGTCCTTGGTAAAATATTTTCACTGAAAAGAATGATCTAGAGACTGTACCTGCTAGAAATTTCTCAGCAAACTCCCGGATGGACTTCGTATCAGCCAAGTCCAGCTTTTTCACAATGACTTGCTGGTTCCCTGTCTCAGCTCGGATTTCACTGGCTGCAGCTTCTGCCTTTGCAATGTCTCTGCAAGCAATGATCACCCTTGCACCTGCAAGGAGGGGAGGGGAGAACAACAAGAACAGAAACAGATCACTGGAGCACGCTGGATGATCAAGGCTACAACAAGCAGGCTGACTATGCACAGCATTACGAACAATATATTTTTTCTTTGGGGAACTGGCATCAGTCAGGGGAGCAGCTGGAAGGGACAAAGCCTTTCCTACTATATGGTAAGCTACGATTTATCCAAAGGATGCTTTCAGACCAAGAAGAAACATCTGAAGTGCCTCTGTGCAGGTTCTTCCAGGTCAAGAGTACGTACCACAACACTGGTATGAGAGGGTTAATCTGCCCCTATAATGAGAATGTCAAATCAGGGGCACATAAAGGTACTTGGATACCAGCGTAATTTCTAAACGGATTGTGAACAGGTAGTTTAATCTTCTTATCAGTTACCCAAAAAACCAAATTAGCTTGAAACGTGAATAAGTAAAGCATACAGCAGTGGACCTGTAGCATTTCCCAGCTTCATACAAGCAGAACTGATCACTCTCAAGGAGAAAAGACAACGCAGAAAGAATCGTGCCTTGCAGAATATACCACTTAAGGCGTCTTTCTGCTGTGCCTTTTGCAACCAGACGTGCCTATCTCATATTGGCCTTTTTAGCCACCAACGCGCTTGCAACAAACGTGGGTAGAGCCCTTCCCAAATCTTTGTTCGCGAAGCCCAGCCATGATGATGACAAGCAGAACCTCCCCAGTCCTGTCAAACCAGTTGCAGTGCAGAGCATTTTCATGTACCCAAGGTACATTTTTGGAGTTCAAGCAATGAAACCAGTTGAGGAACTGGGGACTTGCACCTCAGTAGTTACAGCCTCTGGAAGACCAACACTTGGGCTCATCTGCAATAACTGTGGAATCAAATTGACTTCAATGTAAGCATGAAACACTCCTCCCTTAGGTCCAGAAAAGGGACTACTGGCACACAGGCACAGCCACCCCAGCTGCACAGGGATTCCTGCTGATGAACTGTGACTTGCCTCTCCGTGCGAGGTCTCTGGCAGTCTCCTTCCCGATGCCTGTGTTGGCTCCTGTGATTATCACCACCTTCCCCTCCATCTTTGCTGTCGACTTACACCGTCCTCCAGCGACATACCTCCTGCAAGAGGGGACGGCACCTGTCACCTCAGCATCCTTAGGGCGCTAGGGCCGGGGCTAAGCGCCCAGAGCCGCGGCGTTCGCCCCAACACTGGGGCTCACCGCTGCGCTCAGGGCCCCGGGGGTTCACGGGCGTCGTCACCTGGGGAGGCCGGTCACGGCCATGTCGCGACCGGGGCATCAGGAGCGCGCCCCGAGCCCCCCGCTTTGAAGAGCCAGGCCCTGCCCTCCGGCCCCGCCCGTGCGTCAAGTGGGACCACGGCTCCCATTGGCTGCGGCCGCGCGCTCCGGGCCTTTTGTCCAATGGGCTGCGCCGCCGCGCCCTAAGGAGAACACGGGCCCCGCCCCCCGATGCCCCTCCGCGAGCGCCGCCGGTGCGGGGCCGGGACAGACTCAGGGGAGCGCCGTGCGGGGCGGGGGGGGGGGCTCTGGCTGCCAGGGCTGAGCCCCGTCCCCCGAGCATCCCAGCTCCTGCCGTGAGCGCGTCAGTGGCACCGGAGCACTGAAGCTGGGGAAGCCTGAATGATTCCTGAGCGCAGCGCGGGCTGAAGAACGTGATTCCCGTTCTCCCGGCTGGAGAACGCACTCCCGCCACACGCACACGCACACGCGCACACACTGACTCACACGGGCGGGCACACCCGGCCGCCCTCAGACGCGACGCGCGCCGCCTCCGCGCCCCTCAGCACCCGCCGCCGCTCCGCGGGGCCGAGCGCGCGCGAAGACTCGGGGCCGCGCTCGGTAAGACGCACCTGATGTAGGGCGCTGCCACGTAAAGGAGGACGGGGACGGAGACGGCGGCGCCCAGTGCAGCTCCCCAGCAGTTGAGCATTGCTGCCGCCGCTACCCGCGCTCTGCTGGCGCCCGGCGCTCCGCGGCCGCACCACCGCCCTGCCCCGCCCCGCCCGGCACCGCCCGCCCGGGGCACGCCCACGACACCTCGGGACACGCCCCTCGCGGCACGCGGAGCGCTCCTGAACGAGCCGGCCGCGCCAGATGTTCCCGGGGCCTCCGGCGCCGGGCACTCGGCGGGGCGCGCTCCCCGGTGCAGGAGTGCCCCTGCCGGGAGTACCCGCGCGCAGCGGGAGGCCGGCCGGCTTCACGCCAGCAGCCCGCTGCTCTTTACCCCGGGCAGAGCACGGCTCCGACCCGCGTCCCTGTGTTCATCCTGAAGCCGCCGTCATACTCGCACTCCGCAGTTACTAAGCCGCGAAGTGTCTGCGGAGGCAGCGCAGCGGCGGCTGTCGGCAGCGGCGCTGGGAACACCTTTTTCACACCCCCTGCTGAGGTTTCTGTTATTCCCTCTCGCAGAGCGCAAGCAGTGATGCCCACGCAGGCAGGGCCGAGGCCCGGGAGCAGCAGGGCGGTGCCGGCTCCCGGTGCCGGCTCTTGGTGCCGGTGCGGTGTTGGCGGCGCAGGAGCGCCCCCGCGCGGGGCGGGCACTCCCCCCGGGACTGGAGCTCCCGGCAGGCAGCGCGGGGCGCCCCTGGTGCCGGAAGCGCCGGGCGGGGCGAGGGACCGTCCGGGGCAGCGGGGCCATGGCGGGCCGCGGGACGGGCTCCTCGGAGCACCTGGAGCGGCTGCACGAGATCTTCCGCGGGCTGCACGGAGACCTGAGGGGCGTCCCCGAGCGGCTGCGGGGCAGCGCGGCCGGTGAGGCGGTGGGAGAGGGCGGCCGTCCCACGGGGCCGGGGTGAGGGCACGGGAACGGGCGGGGCTGCCCCGGGAGCGGGGCTCGGCCGCTCCCTTGACACGACCGCCCCGGTCCCTGTCGCCGGGGCCGCGGTCCCTCCAACCGGGGCGGCCTCGCTGGCTGCGAGGCCCTGTCGGGGTCGTTCGGGTGCTGCTCGTCAGACAGACGTGTCTGTGTAGCCGCGGGGGGGCAAAGTCCCTCCGAGACACCCTGTGTGCGGGGAGATTTGCAATCGCAGGGATTCGGGACCTCGCTTTCGGTAGCGCCTGCTTGGAGGGGGCGGGTGGCCATGCCAGGTCTGGCCTCGCCATGTGTTGTTTTCAGCTGCTGCCGTGTCCTGGTGGCTTTGCAGGTGTGTGGCTTTACTGCCCTGGAGCAGCTCCTCTGGGCTGGCAAATTTCAACCCCAGAGCCAAGCGCAGCCGTGCTGGGCTCAAAGCATCACCTCTGAGGAGGTGGTGTTATTTGGATGTTGTTTTGTGCTGTTTCTAGTTGAACTGGAGTTGTTTAACCTGGAGAAGAGGAGGCTCAGGCATAACCTTCTCACTCTCTACAACTGTCTGAAAGGAGGCTGTGGCCAGGTGGGGGTTGATCTCTTCCACAAGGTAACAAGCGGCAGGACAAGAAGACCTGGCCTCAAGCTGTGCCAGGGGAGGTGCAGGTTGGACATCAGGAATACTTTCTTCACAGAAAAGGTGATTAGATATTGGAATGGACTGCCCAGGGAGGAGGTGGAGTCACTGTTCCTGGAGGTGTTTAAGGAAAGACTGGATGTGGCACTGGATCTAGTTGCCATGGTGGTGTTCACTCATAGGTTGGACTCAATCATCTCAGAGGTCTTTTCCAACCTAATTGGTTTTGTAACAACTGCAGTGCCCTTGGGGTTTTGGTTTTGGAGTTTTTTCCTTTTTGTGTGTGTATGTGTGTTGGGCTCATGTTTAAAATCTCATCGACAGAATTAAAATTAGTTTTTACTATCACAAGTGCCCACAAGCATCTGTAGAGCATTTCTTTACTGAAGAAGGTTTACATTTTAAATTACTCTTTTAAAAGTCTGGTTTGTGCACTTCCTATCCACAAAATAGAAAAAATCTATGTATCTAGCCACTCAAAGTGGTATTGGAAGCACAACCTGATTTTTTGGGTACTCTTTATATCACACCAGTGGCAGAACACTTCTCTGTAAGGCTTTATGCTTCTGATTCAGTTCTCGATATTTGGAGTGTTCTGAGAACTGAAAAGGGAAGTGATCTGACAAGAAGAATTTTACCAATGTTACTGAATGCCTCTGGTTAAACCCTTCTTATGAGAGACAGGATACGTGGCTGTCATGCGCTGCTGTAGCTCAGCTCGGGTTTTGTACCCCAGCAATGGGTAGGGTCTGTCATCCATGCTGTGCTCTCTCATCTCATTCTCCCACAGTTGATGAATTTTGTGTAGAATCATAAAAATGGTTATCCAGAATATACCAGGCTGTGCTAGATAACACAGGCTATGAAAAGCTTAATATCCTGTTTCTTACCTGGCTTTCTGTTTAATGAGTTAAATTCAGGGTCACAATCCTTGTCATCAGCATTTCCAGAAAGTTTGGTGCAAGAAAGGTGTTCAAACCTGCAAATAATTTCAAAACTGACTTAATTTCACCAGGATAAAAAGCGTAAGAGAAGAAATACCCTTTCTGGTAGAAATCCCTATTTCCCTGTAGAACAGGGAATGGTCAGTTTCTTGGTGAAATAAAACTTTGTCTCCTTGGAACTGGGGTAGTCTTGAGCAATGAATTCTGAGCCATTGGCTTAAGTGCAGTATTTGCAGGCAACAGGTTTTGTAATGCTTTTTTTTGTTATTTTTTTTCCCAACAGATTCCAAGTAATTGCAAGCTCAACTTTTAGACATGCTAAGGAATTTTACTATGACTGTTCTGCTCTTTAAATTTGTTCCTGCAAAAATCCTGATAATATTTTTTGAAAGTGTTTCTAGGAGAGTTTAAGATAAATCAGGAATTTGTCTATCTGGTGTAGGCATTCCACTCTCCTAATGTGTTTAGTTTGCTTCTTTTACTTATGGGAAGGGAAGTATATCTTTATTTTTTGAGTTATCTGATCCTGAAATATTCAGGAGATGATAAAAGGTACCTTGGAATACTCTTTTAAGATGATTGACACAGTCCAAAACTTGAGGGAAGACAGAATCTGTAGTCCTTGGGATGTCTTTGAGGATCAAAGGTTTGGAAATGCTGTTTCACTCTATATAAACAAGATGACAAATTCCTAACTTTAGAAACACTTTTTTTTTCCTTCTAAATTTGTAAGAAGCATTTTGAACAGCCTGAATCATTTCAAATACAGATATTTTCCTCTAAATTATTTCAGTTCGCTGTACTTTACAACTGAATCTGTTTCTAACTGATTGGAAATGAATCAGGTGAATGTTGATGGCCATGTGGATAGCACTGCTGTGGAGTGGGTACTTTTGCTGCATCTGTCTGTGCACTTTGAGTCACAGTTCAATCCGGAGGGGTGGGAACTGAACCCTTCAGTGTGTTTCACCATTTCTGTGCACTGGACAGATCCAGTGGAATGCTTCAAGCTACATTGCCAGATTTCTTGTTGGCTTATAAACAAAAAAGTTTCGAGCTGTTGCTGCTCGGCTTACCTAAACCACTCGGTGATGCTATCCCTTTTGGAAGCTGGCATTTCTTTGGCTGCATGTTCATAAGTGCAGCATCTTCTTGGTCCGCGCAGGGGACACGAAACGAGGAAATGCTGCTTTTCCAGTTCTGCGTCGGGTTTCCACAAGTTTGAGGCAGCAGTGGGTTTAAGAGAGCACTGCTTAAATTGGATTAGTGAAATGACCTGTATGGAACAAATTATTGACTTTCGAAGGCTGTTTGTCTGCACTTCATGATTTCGCTTGCAACCCAGCTACACAAACAAGGGCATCAGCACAATTGCGTATGGAAGAAGTTGAGGAGAGTGTATTTAGGAACCTTATAAGTCAGCATTTCCTCCTGAATAAACTGGGATGTGAAACTGTATTTCCTGATACCAGTTGGTGTCCTGATGTAGCTTAGTCTGTAATAATTCCTTGTGCCAAGTGAGAGCATAACTTCTTCTTAGATTATGGTTTTTAATTCTGTCTTAAGCTCTCTACAGTTCAAATTCTGGGGCTTAATATGAATTTGAACTGAGAAGGAAAGCCTACAGCTTAGGCGTGTTGTGTATGTGAGAGGAGCTATATAACCATGTTCTGATCACTTCAAATTTTTTCCTATTTTCTGTTGAGAGCTCAGTGTTTTAAAAACTCCTTCTTTTGCAGAGGACTGTGTTTACCAAAAGGTATTATCAAATAAGTTTTTTTACCGCAATGAAGTTTTTGTAATGTTGTATTTAATTTTGCCTTTAATCAAATTAGAGGAGTTTTACCAAGATGACAGTCTACATGTTTTAGTACCCAAAATTTTACTTAAGACTTGATTATACTCTTCTGAGAGAGAGATGAATTAAGCTAGGTGGATATTTGTCAGACTCCTGATAAAATTTGGTTTCATTTGCAGTACTCTACAAGAGTCTTCTGGTGTTCATCTTCAATTTTTTTGCAAAAGCTTACAGAACTTGTTTTGTCTCCATTGAGATAAGGGAATTTTCAGATTTATACTTTCATTGATCATGGATGCTAGAGAGATATGGTAGATTTTTAACACATGAAAAATACAAGTCTTAAGGTTTTGTTTAAAAATAGAGTAACAGCAGTGAAACCCATTCTTTGGTCTCCAAAGCCCTAGGCACATGGATCTTAGTAAATGACTGTCTCAAACAACTAAAATGTATAGTTTTGTTGGCTGATCCAAACAACTAATGTCATTCCAGAAGAGGGAGGCCTTTGGGCTTTAATCCATGAACCTGAGGTGATATCTTGATGGCATCTTTTATCTTAGAGAAGTCTAGAATGCTTACTGCATGTACTTAGGTACCTTATGACCGTGAGAATGCAGAGTACTGGGTCTGCCGGGAACTTCAGGGCTCACTTGGAAATGTAGATTGACTTGATGTTCTGTTCAAATCCAAATTATAGTTTCAGCCTTCAGTAATCTTGCCAAATACTTGCAAAAAATGATAAATATTTATGAGCTGTTCACCAATGTGTTCTGTTTGCTATTCTTCCACACTAAATATTTTTCAACACACAATTCTGTCAGTGGACATTGGGGGACAGTAGGTCAGAAAAATATTTCAAGTTTGGAAAATTACTTCTTTTGTCTACCAGAGGTAGTGGCCAGCATTTGGAAGAGTGGTTGCTGCTGTCTTGCTCCACTCTCTTTTGGAAAGTTGTCATAAGAACAGGCTGTTCCTGTTTGAGTTAAATTTTGA